CAGATTGTTTAAAAGGGAGCAGAAGGCCAGAAATCAGGTGACCCCCCACCCCCAACCCCCTTAAGCCATCTGAATACCAGTGATCCCTGAAAAATGCTCCAGTCCAGTCACATGAGAGGCATGTGAGAGCTCCAGGGGTGGAGGGGGTGCTCTGTGTTTGTGTGGCGTGTGGGTGGATGAATGAAATAGTTCAGAGCTGCACATGTGACCCTCCTCGAGCTTTCTCATGTGCAACACAAAGAAAGAAAAGTCAGAGATCCCAAACTGTCAGTTTCATTAAACGTTGTCATTTTAAATATCTAAATGCTGTTTTCTTTGCTTCTTGCAGATCTTCTGTGGGCAGTGCTCTCCCCAGGAGGCGCTGTTGTGCTTATGTAACTATAGGAATGATCTGCATTTTCATCGGCGTGGGGTTAACAGTAAGTATGACTCGATTGTGTGTTTCCTCCTTGGATATTCAAATCAAAACGAATTGGAGATGCACCAAAATCAGTTGATTTTCAGAAGAGTTGGCCGATTTCTCTCTCTGAGCCTATTTTTTCTAAATAAAAGCTCAAAAACATCTTTAAAGAGCAAGTCACCCCCTACCAGAGTGTTACTTCACTCCCACTTCCTGTTTGAAAAATGCAACAAATGCAGTTGCCTAGCAGACCGAGAAGGCAGAGTCGCTAACAAACACACACACAGGCTCACAACAACACTGTGACATCATATGGTACCAGCTAACATTCTAGGGTACCTCTTAGCCAATAGCGATGGCAGATTTAAATTCAAATGCAGTGCAGAGATTTTACCTGACAACGGCACAACACTGACAGTTTTAGGCAGAAAATTAAAATTTTAACTAAAATGCACTAAAGTGCAAAACTATTGACTACACGTGTCTGCAGCACGATTAGACACACATTTTATCAGAAAAAAAAGTTTAGTTGAGTCCTACCCGAGTCTTGCTCCACCCACATTTCCTGTTTGAAAAATGCGCCACAAGGAGGCATTGCCTGGCGGGCCAAGAGGGCACTGTAGGGTTGGGCATCGAGCATCGATTGGAACTGGGACCAACTGTTAGTTTTTCCCGGAATCTTTCAAAAAATTTTATTTCGATTCCAAGAATGCCGACAGAAGAAGAATCCGCAGCCGATCTCCGTGAAAAATAAACATGATTTGCAAATTGTGATCAACGCTTTTCAGAGCTGATCACACCAGCTGTCTGTGTGCAGCACTGAGTCCCCCCCCCACCCCCCCGTGCCCCCCTTGCAGCACAGTCAGCAGTTTTTCTCCTAAACACGTTTTTGTTTAAATGAAGGTAATGTTATTGTTAGAATTAAAATTCATGTTGAAGTTAATATTATTTCATCAAGAAGGACCTGTGGTTAGCTGGCTCATTTAAAGCATGCCATGTCTTGAAAGAATCGGAATTGGGAATCGATAGGAACCGGAATCGAAACGAGGAATCGGAATCGTTCAAAATCGAACGATGCTCAACCCTAGCAGTGGCAGTGAGTGGCATGGACCTTCCACCCTTCTCGGCGACTCCATCGGAGAAATAAGCCGTTAACACACACACACACACACACACACACCCCGAGAAAAGCAGCACTTCCTGTATTCTGGTGGCGACACTAGCTCTTTTGCCTCAGAGCAGACTCCCTCACCAGAGGAAGGGAGGAAGGCGAGCATCCTGAACCGTATTGTTTCGAACCGTTGGCTCGTGAGTTGCCATCGGTCACCAGTACCGAGCTATAAACCACCGCTTGCTATTCCAACTCCAACTCACTACGGCGGTGTGGCGGAGCCCGAAGCTCTGCTGCTTTTTGTAATTAATGTTTATTTTCTAGAGATGCAGGTAAAGCTTCAGGTGTGTGAAATCTGCTTCCTCTCCTGTGTGCTCTCAGGTTGGTACTCGGGACTTTGCGAGACGCTATAACGCCACCTATGTGTCCTGGGCGTTCGTCTACCTGCTGGGCCTCATCTGCCTGATACGAGCCTGCTACTGGGGCGCCATTAAAGTCAGCTACCCGGAGAATAGCTTCGCCTAGAGCGGTCTGACAAAGCTGTGCACGGCCAGAACGACAAACTTCTTTTTTTAAAAGCCCCTCCCCCAGTTTCTGATTTGGTTTTCCACCTGGTGACGTTTGGCGAGGTGCAGCGCGTGTGGGCGGCGTTTCTTTAAAGAAGCTAGAGATGTTTGTTAGATCTTTGGAGTGTCTGACTTGCCGAGCAAACCCACTGCCTGTCATCGTTCAGTCTGGTGCACAAATATTTAAACTCCAGGTAGTTTTTTTGGGGAGAAATTAAAAAATTGTTATCAAGGACTTGAAGATCTGTTGTTTTTCTTGATGGTTGACGCAAACGCTGTTTGGGTTTATTACTTAGTTGCTCTGAGCGACAAAAAAAACCTAATTTTCTCGTTACTGACCAGAACCATTGCACAACGATTTTTATGCAATTTTGAGTTTTGCTGCGAGTTCAGCTCCAGCCGCAGGAACCTGCATACTGTAATGTTCTCGCCCGCATTCTCAGAAATAGTATTACTTGATGATTTTAATGCTAAATGATCCTTTTTCTTTTTATTTTCCTTGCATACCCACGCGTGCCATCTTTGCAGCCCAGTGTTCAGATCAACAGAAGTTTACTTTCTACTAAAGTATTAATTACTTCCTTTTATGTGCGTGTTTGTGCTCGCTGCATTTAAGTCGCCGCCATAACCCGTTCAGGTCCTTGACATGCTCATAGTCCTCCCAGGAACTCGTGACCCGTCTGTGCATGTTGACTTCGTGGTGTCCTCGAGGTGGTGTTTAGCTCCGTTTCAGACGGTTGTGATGTTTCCATCTTTGCTCCTGCAGCCTTTGGGTTTGAATGTAAACCCGCCTCTTCTTCCCTGTGAGCTTTTGTCGCTGCTCCGGTGAACTCTTACCAATGTCCTGACTTCTTACAGTGGGCGCCGTCCAAACCTGGTTTTGAATGTGATAATGATCATGAAGCAGAATATATATATTAAAACTTTGTACATAGCTTAAATTCAGTACTTGGAAAATGTAAGTAGTTGGAGATGGAAGAAGGTTCGTGGGTCTTTTTAAAAATGATAATTTATCAATAAAATTCCAAAACTACTCATGTTGGTCTCTTTATTTCTCAGCGTACCAGGATTGTAGTGGGAAACGATGTCTGGTACGGAATTATTTATCAAATGACACCAAACCAGGAGCCTAAAACCATGAATAAAAGTTAAAGTGTGTCTGAATGTTGAAGCATATCCGGTTTTGTTTACTCTAAAACGTATAAAATAAAATCAGGTTAATTTTCAGCTCATGTATTTAGTCTTAAAATAGATAATCACACTGTAATGGAAAACTGTTTACATCAACATTTTACTGCTGTGTACTTTTGATACATGCAAAGGTGATTTTTCATATTTCAGACTAAATATGATAAACGGATAAAATGTGACAAAAATAAGGAACAAAATTAATCCAGATAATTCTAAAATGTTTAGGATGACATTTCTGTACAATTTCAATTCGTCAGTGAAACAAAAATCAATATTTTGAATATTTCCTGGGTTAAATCTAACTTATTTGAACGTTTGCGATAATTTAGTTGTATAAAATGCAGTGCTGCTGAGTTTCCACATGGTGGTGCTGTTTACCAACAGAATCATGCACTTACAGTAACAGAAAATCCCTTTTATTGTCCCTCTATGTGGAAATCCAGTTGTGATGAACTTGTTCAAAGTAAAATTTCATTTAAACCAACAGATCATTTCAGATAATCATGTTGTGACTAATATTGGTACATCCATACACGATACACACATATGCCCTAGTGTTGTGTTTGCACCTGAACTGACCCCCACTGACATGTATAAAGTAGCTGCTTCTCTAATTATTGGTTTCCTATATTATGATCATTTCATTGTGTTTATTTCTTAATTCTAATTTTGCTTATTTATTTTTTCTTGCACCAAGTACCGCAGCAATTTCCTAATGTTGTGAATCTCGCACATATGGCAATAAAACCCTTCTGATTCTGATCTGTGACTATGCATATATACAGGAGGAAAATAATCAAGACTTGTTATGATAAAGTCTAAGTTTGGTCCAATTTGTTTATTTTTATTTAGTTTATTCATGATTTGCTGCAGTACCCCCCCTCCAGCAGGTGGCACCCTACAGAATATGTACTCCTTATGTTATGGTAAAGCCATACTTTACAACTTATTCATATTTTTTAATCATTTTCTTGAGCCAGTGTGTGCTAAAATGACCCTTTATGGTTAATGAAAAGTCATTCAGACCCCACCGCCCTCTGTGGCCAGAATATCATACTTGCAACCTGTTGGACTCGGCCCATCAGCTGTTTTTTCTGACGCTGCAGTCTGGTTCCAGCACATTTCCAGCATGTTTTAGATCACGAACACAGCTGATTTGTTTAATTTAGAGATAAATCGCTCCTGCAGACACTAATGAGGGCTGGGAGACATTTCAGCCGTAAGATCAAAGTGTTAAAAAGAGAAACGCACAGGAAGTTTCACTTTTCACTTCGCCTTCAAAATGTGTTCCCCCATCAAAACTGTCTTGACTAAATGCTCCCTCGTCACAATGTTCAACGACGCTAACTCTGAAAGACAGACATTAATTGTGAAATTCTGTCCCCTGTAATGTGTTTTTATTGTTGAGGTTCAGGCTAAAGCAGATCAAAAGTTTAGGGGTAAGGGGAAACATATTTCCACACAACACCTGTTCTTAGCAGTTACAGCAAGTCAAAATGTGGTAGTTTTCATGGTCTAAAACAACTCCAACATGCAAACTTTGCATTTCAAACCAACAATATTTTATTGTCGCACTTATACCCCCCAATTACATTTGCTAGCTTGATTTATTTACTTCTTAACCAAAAACTCCTGATGCTATGCTAACTGGCTAACTGGAAGGATTCTAACTGTTTCCTGCTGCTTATTATTCATAAAATATTTATATATATACATTTTAAACATGACCAGAGAGAGAGATACACAACATACTTTTATTCAGAACTTTTGTCTTAATTTGACACATTAAATATAGAAACTACAGAAATATGGTTTCATGAGCTCGCTGGAGCTGCTACAGTTGATATTTTGTTAAGTGCCTCTTATCCCGTCTCCGTCACTCACACACACGCATTTGTCTCCTCATGCCAACAAACAATAAGAACCAAAACTAAATATCGAAATTTGTTCTCTTAAATAAAATCTACAAAGCTGAGGCCCCCAACTTCAATGTCCACGCAGAGATAGCTCTAACCTAACAGTGACCCCTCATGAGCTATTCTGGATGATGTTACGGCTAACACAGGGATGATGTCATATCACCAGATGGATCTTTGTCTGATGATGTCATTGCTTTTAGGAAATACAGCTATTTCAGGTACCACCAAACTATGAAGGAACATAGAGGTCATAAATACTAATCACCATGACTTCACAAGGGGTGTGTGTGTGTGTGTGTGTGTGTGTGTGTGTGTGTGTGTGTGTGTGTGTGTGTGTGTGTGTGTGTGTGTGTGTGTGTGTGAGTGAGTGAGTGAGTGAGTGAGTGAGTGAGTGAGTGAGAGAGAGAGAGAGCTTTGCTTTCACATCCATCTGTGACGATTGGTGAAAGATGCCGTTCCACGTTCAGTTGTTGTTGAGGACCCACCAGGAGGCTGAAGAGCGAACAAAGAAACAGTTCATGCCTTTATCTAATTTTACAACAAGACAAATATTTGATATAATTAATATAAATAACTTATTCTTTTAGAGCTTGTTTGAAACATTTTATGTTAGGAGCATCCTTTTCAGCTCAGACTTCCAAAGACATTTTAACTGAAGAGTGGTTCCAACTTTCACAGCTTCACAGTGTCATTGAGATAAATACTAAAGACCAAGTTCACTTGTTTTTTTCAACACATTTGCAGTGGTCTTCAGTATAAATGAATGCCTTCTGAGTCAATCTCTGGGGAAAACATTCTGGCGCTCCTGTTTCAGGACCTAGAAGTGAGCTAGATGAGAGCTGAGCAGCAGACGGAATATTTTGGAGTCTTGTTTCCTTATATATGGACAACTTGCCTCTGATTGGCTAATAGCAACACAACTCTATGACTGACTGTTCGCTTTTCAATGATGTTTTATCTCCACAAATAACACAAGCCTGAATGTGTTCCATCTTGTTCAGCAGTTGCTAATGTTAACAGTTAGCTTCTACTAGCTTCCCTGTCACAAGCCAAGATGGTTGAGACCATGGGGGTTTCTCAATGTTTATGTTTATGTTTATGTGCTTAGCAAGGCGCATGGCCTTGCGAGGCGATGTCTTGCTTACGAGGACACTGTCCTTCCTTGGTCAAAGAAAACGGTTAAATGGAACAGACTTGCATCATGTGACCGCAGCTTCCATGGCGGTCACGTAACGTCACGTGACACAGGAGATAACGTTATATTTAATACGTATTAGTTTCAATATAAATAAATTGTGTATATGTTTACTAAATTAAAAATATTAGTGAGTTACTACCCGCTAGCAACCAAAGCTGCAACTACTAAGCAACTAACCAACGATAGATAACTTCTTTGGACCTAAAAAAAAACATTTTAAATTAACTGACCTACTTTTAAACTTGAAGTTTGTCCCCGAAGTAGCTGCCGGCTTCTGATCCGCCTTCTTTTTGAAAATACCGCGGTGTATTGTGGGTAATTTTTTACCAAGGCTAGGCTACAAGACACCTCCCGTGTATCCTTGCTCAGCTAGCTAAACGGCTAACAAACGGAGAACACACGCCTCGGTAGAACATGAACATTGGAACACGTTTTGGCGGCTCCCGATGACATCTCCTAGGCAACCAGGGCGGGGCCAAGACATCAAGGCAAGGTTCCTTGGCATTGAGAAACACCCCATAAATGTTCATTTGACAACGTGACGTAAAAATTTAGTGGTTTTTCTAATCCAAACGCTTCCTCGTCTCCCTTCTCTCGGCTGCTAATACAGGAAATAAGGGTAGACAACTATTTTCATGTTCACGCTGGACATGAAACTCAGGCTGATCAATCGTAATTAAAAAAAAAAGAAGTAAGAACGGTTTCTCAGTGAACCTGGCCTTTAGATGTAAATCCATATGGATCAGAGCAGCGAATGATCTCACCAGGAACAAGCATGGTAGTGATGGTCTCAGGAGTTTCCAGGAAGTCAACGTTCCCCCTCTGGAAGGTTTTACTGTAGTTGGTCTGTAGGTGACTGGATAACAGACATAAAAAGAGACAATCAAGATGCTTTATGTGGTGCTCTTCTAACACAAATCTCTTCTTGACCATTGGGGTTGGAGTGGAAGGGAATCTGCTGGTGCTACGCCTCTGAACCAGCAGAGCTGAAACTGTGTGAGGGTAAGGCAGCCTCACGGCTCCAGGGTGTGATGAAGTGATGACAGATGGTTCGTGTGACTGCCCTATTTATAATAACAGATGTCTGACACCTATTTTAAGTGTGCATGGCCGAGTTATCCTCTAAACCGACAAGGTTTCATTATACAGCTTCTGTAGGTGTTAAAATGTTTGCTTTTTACACGTCATCAATTTTGCATCAGATGGTTTTGAAGTCCTGAAAAAACCACAACTCGAGATCTCAAATCCACCAATTCCCGCATAAAAAAACCTCCTGAGACGGTGAGAAAACCTTTAAAGCAGGAGTTGGAAAACTAAAACGGCAGCTTAAAACACCAGTGAGTGACAAGCTCTCTGCTGGGATGATGGACAGGAGGGAAAGTGACCGCAGAGAGGAACCAAGCCAAGAGCAGGCGTTCATTTTTCCTGAGTTTGATCCCACGGAGATGGCTGAGCTCTGAGAAAAAGCTCTCGCTCTCACAACACCCAGCCTGAATCCTGAAAACACCTCAGTGACAAAAAATCCTTCCGTTTGGAAAAGAACAACTCTTCCTAGGATTGAGAAAGTCAGAGAGGGATGAGAGAGCAGGATCCGTCCAAAGACGAATAAGTAGATTCATATTCTATCGTTGTTATTTTAGCAGTGATGTCTCAATCCTGAAGAAAGCGTCTGATTTTTGCATTTGTTGTGCAGATTTTTGGCACGAAGTCAAGAATTTTTGAGGATACAGAAAGTTTATTGGAAAAAGGAAAAAGTCACCAAAGCTGCTAGATGCCAATATGTCAACTAAACCTGCAGGTTTAGAAGATATGATGCCCACAAGACTCGTTTAGAGATTATTTACATTTTCTGAGTTATTTGATCCTAAAGTGTGAGCTCACTACCAAGTGTTAAAAAAAATCATTAAGGTGCAAAAAAATGGGAAAATTAAAAGTATAACTTGGTAATCGTGTTTTAATTAACCATCCATCATCCATTCATCTATCTATCCATTTATTTATCTATCCATCATCCATCCATCCTCCATTCATCTATCTATCCATTTATTTATCTATCCATCATCCATTCATCTATCTATCCATTTATCTATCCATCATCCATCCATCATCCATTCATCTATCTATCCATTTATTTATCTATCCACCATCCATTCATCTATCTATCCATCCATCCTCCATTCATCTATCTATCCATTTATTTATCTATCCATCATCCATTCATCTATCTATCCATTTATCTATCCATCATCCATCCATCATCCATTCATCTATCTATCCATTTATTTATCTATCCATCACCCATTCATCTATCTATCCATCATCCATCCATCCATTAATCTATCTATCCATCATCCATTCATCTATCTATCCATTTATCTATCCATCATCCATCCATCATCCATTCATCTATCTATCCATTTATTTATCTATCCATCATCCATTCATCTATCTATCCATCATCCATCCATCCATTAATCTATCTATCCATCATCCATTCATCTATCCATTTATCTATCCATCATCCATCCATCATCCATTCATCTATCTATCCATTTATTTATCTATCCATCATCCATTCATCTATCTATCCATCATCCATCCATCCATTAATCTATGTATCCATCATCCATTCATCTATCTATCCATTTATCTATCCATCATCCATCCATCATCCATTCATCTATCTATCCATTTATTTATCTATCATCATCCATTCATCTATCTATCCATCATCCATCCATCCATTAATCTATCTATCCATCTTCCATTCATCTATCTATCAATTAATTTATCTATCCATCAACCATCCATCATCCATTCATCTATCTATCCATTTATTTATCTATCCATCATCCATCCATCCATTAATCTATCTATCCATTTATTTATCTATCCATCATCCATCCATCATCCATTCATCTATCTATCCATCATCCATCCATCATCCATTCATCTATCTATCCATTTATTTATCTATCCATCACCCATTCATCTATCTATCCATCATCCATCCATCCATTAATCTATCTATCCATCATCCATTCATCTATCTATCCATCATCCATCCATCATCCATTCATCTATCTATCCATTTATTTATCTATCCATCATCCATTCATCTATCTATCCATCATCCATCCATCCATTAATCTATCTATCCATCATCCATTCATCTATCCATTTATCTATCCATCATCCATCCATCATCCATTCATCTATCTATCCATTTATTTATCTATCCATCATCCATTCATCTATCTATCCATCATCCATCCATCCATTAATCTATGTATCCATCATCCATTCATCTATCTATCCATTTATCTATCCATCATCCATCCATCATCCATTCATCTATCTATCCATTTATTTATCTATCATCATCCATTCATCTATCTATCCATCATCCATCCATCCATTAATCTATCTATCTATCTTCCATTCATCTATCTATCAATTAATTTATCTATCCATCAACCATCCATCATCCATTCATCTATCTATCCATTTATTTATCTATCCATCATCCATCCATCCATTAATCTATCTATCCATTTATTTATCTATCCATCATCCATCCATCATCCATTCATCTATCTATCCATCATCCATCCATCCATTAATCTATCTATCCATCATCCATTCATCTATCTATCAATTAATTTATCTATCCATCAACCATCCATCATCCATTCATCTATCTATCCATCATCCATCCATCCATTCATCTATCTATCCATCATCCATCTATCCATTTATTTATCTATCCATCATCCATCCATCCATCCATCATCCATTCATCTACATCCATCATCTGTTCATCTATCTATCCATCCATCCATCTATCTATCCATCATCCATTCATCTATTTATCCATCATCCATCCATTCATCTATCCATCCATCCTTCCACCCATCATCCATCCATACATCATCGTTTTACTTAACCATCCATCATCCATTCATCTATCTATCCATCCATCCATCTATCTATCCATCATCCATCATCCGTCTATCTATCCATCATCCATCCATCCATTCATCCTTCAATCCATGTATTCAACGTCTGTCTGTCTGTCTGTCTGTCTATCTATCTATCTATCTACAAGCAGCAAGGGTTAAAATATGTATAAATTAAGGTAATAAATAATGTTTATTTGTTTATTTATTTATTCAAATATCTCTGTATTTTTAGCTTAGTGTTTCTATAATGAACCCTTTGATTCCAACTGATATTTACTCCACATACCTCTAGGTTTCTCTGACCTCTATCTCTTTAACAGGATTAGTACGTTCCTCAAACTTCCACCATTAAATTCTGTACAAGTCTTCTGCCTCCTTGTGGAATACCTCAGTACTGCAGTAGATAAATGCAATCGTATTTTGTCATTACTTTTGTCATATATTTACCTAATAGTGTTTTCAGTGATTATATAATTATTTTATTATTGACATTTGAAAAAAAAAATCAGATTGTTTTGCTTTTGAAAAATTCGTGCTCCCATAAAATAAAGTGTTTGACCTAAGGCAGGGGTGGGGAACCCTGGTCCATCAAGGGCCGGTATCCAGCACATTTTACTTTTAACCCTGCTTCAACACACCTGATTTCAATCAGCAGGGAATTAACAGGTTTCTGCAGAGCCTGATGAGCTGCTGAACTGGTGAATCATCCACTGAATTAGAAGTGTTGGAGCAAAAACGTGCAGGATACCGGCTCTAAGGGGTAAATGTGCAAATTATAATAAACTCTAAAATAGGCAGTTTTGAGAAAAAATATTTTCAATCTATGAAGTTTAAACTTTTTCTTCCTGTTAAAAATTTAGAAAAACTCTCTTGCTCTTTTATTTCAAGCAAACCTTATCCTAATGAGTTCAAGCAGAACAAATTTCCTAATAATGTTCGTTGAACAGACACTCACTTCTTCCACACGTTGTTGTGCTCCCAGAATTCATAGAGGATGAAGCGTGACTCATTTGCCAGTCGCTGAACTGCGATGCTGAAAAATAAAACCAGAGAGCGAGAGAGTCAAACAGTGGCTAATCAGTGTGCTGCCTCACGTTCCCCTACACAATCGTGATTTTACAGCTCAAATGTGGCCACACTACATCTGTATGTTATCGTAAACATCTGAGCTAAAACAAAACGAATATTTGGAGGAGGAGGCGATGAGGCCAAAGTGTCCTTAAGGCTGCAGGATTTCATCAACAACCAAAGTGGCAGACAACCGAGTCAGATGGAAGACGTGTTTAGTCGCAACTGAGCAGAGGAATTATAGGGCTTGAGCTGTAAAACGAAAATATCAAAGCAGATGTTCTCTCATCGTGGTCAGGGTGTGTCAAAAATTTTTACTTATCCTGATTTATTACGATGTTAATTTGCTCTTAATTCTTATTTAATGAGATTTTATTTCTAAAATCACATCAATTACACGTCTCAAGACTGCAACCGAGTCCAGGAGAATGATTTCATCAGACATTTCAGTAGAAACTTCTTCACATCAAACACATTAAAAAATGTCTGATTTAGTGATTTAACTCTAAAAAAAAATTTTAAATTAATTGAAAAAGATTTAAAAAGTGAAGCTTTATTTCCTTCACTGTTTTTTAACAAAACTTCACTATTAAGGTATTTTAAGGTCAAATTAAATAAAGCATATATTACTTATTTAATGTAAGGGCATTAATATTATCTTTATCCTTTGCTTGGTTCAAAATCTGCCCACTAAAGTGAGAAATTTGCTGAATGGTGAATGGCTCCAGAAAAAGGTTTTCTTAACTTTAAGTTGAAGTTTTGTCTCAGATTAGTTTAAATTTTCTAAAAACTAGATATTTATTACTTTAATTTGAGACTTTAAAGTGCTATTTTCAAGTAAAATATGTCATTTTGTGAAGGAAAAAAAAAACACTTAGAAGTGTGAAATGTGAAATAATCATATGTCTCAGTCATGGTGGAAGGAAGGTTATACCGAAACAGATTTTATTCTCAGCCGGCTGGGAGCTTATAAGGTTTTCTCCTTTCGAAAAAAATAAAAGATAGTTACGGTTTACACTCTGAGTTAAGGAGGTTGCAAATCTGCGAGCTAACACAGCAGTGCAGGCATTTGCAATTCAACACCAGCAGGCAAAAAGCTCCAGAGTTGCTTAAAGAACTGAAGCCAGTAAACAGGAGCGACCCAGAAGTTATTTCTTGTACCCGTAAGAAGCCACGGCATCTTTTTTCCCTCTAATATTGGATGACTGAGGCTACAAGCTAACGTTGGGCTAACAATGTGTAGCGTGATGAATTGTCCACTTCTGACCTAAAAGGCCCTGCTCTGTTTCGCTCTGCTCAAAGCGAAACCAGAAGTTTCTGACACAAACCTAATCTGCATGAGATATTGCTCAAGGTCTCATGCATCTGCTTCTAAACTGTGTCTTCCTTTCCAGCTCAAGACAAAGGACTCTTTCTTTTAATAAATCAGAAGAACTCTATTTTTAATAAAGCTAATCAAACAAAGTGTTAGTCCAATAATAAAATGTGAACCAATCTGTGAAATGACAATGTTTAAATGTTTCCACTAGACTGATCACACGTAATGTTAAGAATCACATGACACATTTCCTTTTTCTGATCCAATCAGAGCCTTCCAGATCTGACGCGAGGCGTGGTTTTGCTGGTGCTTGGTAAATCTGTCCCTTTTTGATTCGACCGTAAATCAAAACATCCAATTTATAAAACTATGCCCACGTCATCTTTAGTTCCAGTTCAAAGCGTTCTAGAGAAGTTGTCGGAGCGGCCAATCCGTAACTTTCCTCTTCAGCCGAAAGAACCTAACAACAAGCTGGATTAAATCTGTTGCTGTTCCACCTGCTGCAATGGTTCCTTTCAGAATAAAAGCTGAACCATCCCTTTTGGGTCTCGCTAGATGCCAATAAAACTGTCGTAACCCGGAAATATCTCAAGACTGGTCTAGTCGGCAACCGCTGCTTTTCCTACCGGCTTCGGTTCCAGAGAAGGTCAAGCTTGACCTCGACATTCCTGATCTAACGGGGACTTCCGCAAAGGGTACGTAGGCCGGCAGAATGGCGTCTCAATGAGTGTTATAAATCTCCGAACCAAGGCTTAGCGCAAAACATTATCTTCACTCCCATCAGAACTAATCGTTTCTCCTGATCTGCTGGTTCTGAACATATTCACACATACACCGTTCTCAGTCTTACTTCACCTTAGTTACACCATACATTTAGTGTTTAAAGTTAGTCTAGTTTTAATTTGTTTAGTAATAAATCTTTAAACTTTTAAAACTTGACTCACTCTCTTTTCTAGAAGTTAATACGGAGTGTTGCTCAATCCCTGCAATAAAAAAGATCAGTTCTTCTGATTAAATTTACTTAAAGATCCATTAAGGTGATATTTCAAACTTCGTGATATTTCACGTTTTATGGTTTCTAATTAAATGTAGGAACCTCTTCTCTACAAATGCTAACAATCAATCAGAAGCAAATAGTTGGCTCTAAAAGTATCTCAAGCTACTTTTTCAGTGACCAAACACTATATATTTAAGTGAAATGTATTTGTGAAATGAATAATGAGTCAATCATCGTGTTTTACTTCCTTAAATGAGTCGCTCAGAACTATAACGGCAAGCTAACAGCAAGACGACAAACAGCCACACTTCCTTTAAGGCCGGAGGCAAGCTACAGTAGTAAGTGTAGTAAGTACTCCCTACCGTAAAATACCCAAGAGTGCTAATACTTGACATGAAAATATATTTATCTACTTATCAACTTACTGTGTATGACTAATCTTTGCTTATCATCTAGAGTCTTTTAGTGCTGACCCGTAACCAACAACCATGAAACACGGAACGGCAGTGAGAAAAGGGACACTTTTGCTGAAAAATGGACTGCAGTAACCACATTTGACCACAGGATGTCATTCTTACACATTGCACCTTCAAAATTAAATCCTGATCATATTCTATGCTTCCACTCATAAACCTGCAGGTGGTTGATAATTAAAAAAAATTGATAAAACAGTTTTGATTTGAGAGTTTCTCTATGTAGAAAAGCTTTTGTCAGAAACATATTTTTAAATAAGATCTCAAAAGATATTGCATGAGTTACTTTCTACTCTTCTATAATGATATACGTTATAAAGACAATAACAGTTGACGTAAACAGTAAAAATAAAGAAATGAACCAACTGTAGACATCCCGTCTGTGCGCAGGCGCACTCCATGTACTGCCGGAGAGCCAAACGAAACTCCTCCAGCTCCTCCTCCAACACAGAGAGCTGCCGTTGGACTATTAAGATGTGCTGTAAGCGCGCACACACACACACACGCACGCACGCACGCACGCACACACACACACACACACACACACACACACACACACACACACACACGAACATTCAGAAGGTCAGAATTAGCCTCTGGTATAAAGAGAGCATGCAGGGTTCTTTGGAGCGTTCAGAAATTCTCTGGCAGAACAAAACATTCAAAAGGAACAAAGGTAAAGTTTCTTTCGTCTGACTGGTGGAGAGGTGTTACAATTCATCCCCCCATGAAATAAGTGTTTGGTTTAATGGTAACAGGAAGTGAGTGGTCCGCCTGCTGGCTATGAGGTAAACAGCGTCCGTTAATGAGGGTGAGTCTTCTGGAGATGCAGTGATGAAAACATTACTGTGTGTGTGAGTCCGAAGCTCGAGGACACTCTTACTCTGTACCTAATTTAGGAGAAAGACATAAACGTATGTTGATAAACACTATCAGGTCATTATCAGGATTTTTTTGGGGGGGCAAATTTATTCCAAGTGATACGCGCTTTTAAGCTAATTACATATTGATTAATCCACACAGATGTCTGCATCGATTTCGTAGTGAGACAACTGAGACTTGCAAATAGTTTTCACACTGATCCGTTGGCCTCCGCATCATTTCTTGCAAAGTTTTATCCTGTTTTCCCCAAACAAATGCCAATAGTCATGTTTCAACTATAAAAATTCAGATACATTTCTTGAAGGGGGAAGCGGACGGGAAAATACATTGGCTTGGTCATCTCAGTCATTGTGTATCCATAGCAAATCGGCTCTTTCGGGGACATCAGCATAATGCAACAGTTTTGGCAGTGATCATCCATCCATCCATCCATCCATTTTTGTCCACTTATTTGGAGTTGGTCATGGGGGCAGTAGCCAAAGTCGAGGGGTCCATACTTTCCTCTCCCCAGCCACTTGGGCCAGCTCCTCCGGGGGAATCCGAAGGTGTTCCCTCGCCAGATGAGAGACATAGTCCCTCCAACGTGTCCTGGGTCTACCATTAGGTCTCCTCCCGGCTGGACGTGCCCGGAAAACCTCACCAGGGAGGCGTTTAGGAGGCATCCTGACCAGATGCCCGAGCCACCTCAACTGGCTCCTCTCGATGTGGAGGAGCAGCAAATCTACTCTGAGCCCCTCCCGGATGGCTGAGCTTCTCACCCTATCTCTAAGGGAGAGCCCAGCCACTCTGTGGAGAAAACTCATTTCGGCTGCTTGTATCCGTGATCTCGTTCAGTCGGTCACTATCCAAAGCTCATGACCATAGGTGAGAGTAGGAACGTAGATCGACCGGTAAATCGAGAGCTTCGCCTTCTGACTCAGCTCTCTCTTCACCACGACAGACCGGTACAACGGCCGCATCACTGCAGATGCAGCACCAATCCGCCTATCGATCTCACGCTCCAGTTTTCCCTCACTCGTGAACAAGACCCCGAGATACTTAAACTCCTCCACTTGGGGCAGGACCTCATCCCTGACCCGGCGAAGGCATTCTACCCTTTTCCGAATCAAGATTACGGTCTCAGATTTAGAGGAGCTGATTCTCATCCCAGCTGCTTCTCACTCGGCTGCAAACCGCTCCAGCGAAAGCTGAAGATCATGTTCTGATGAAGCTAACAAGACTACATCATCTGCAAAAAGCAGAGACCTGATCCTCAGGCCACCAAAACAGATGCCCTCCACACCTTGGCTGCACCTAGAAATCTTGTCCCTAAAGGTTATGAACAGAATCGGTGACAAAGGGCAGCCTTGGTGGAGTCCAACTCTCACTGGGATTGAGCCCGACTTACTGCCGGCAATGCGGACCAAGCTCTCACACCAGTCATACAGGGACCTAACAGCCCGTATCAGAGGGCCTGGTACCCCATACTCCCGGAGTACCCCCCACAGGGACCCCTGAGGGACCCAGTCAAAAGCTCTCCAAATCCACAAAGTACATGTAGACTGGTTGGGCAATTTCCCACGCACCCTCCAGGATCCCCCTAAGGATATAGAGCTGGTCCAGTGTTCCACGGCCAGGACGAAAACCACATTGCTCCTCCTGAATCTGAGGTTCAACAATCTGATGGACTCTCCTCTCCTGAACCCCTGAATAGACCTTACCAGGAAGGCTCAGGAGTCTGATCCCCCTGAAGTTGGAACACACCCTGTGGTCCCCCTTTTTAAATAAGGGAACCACCACCCTGGTCTGCCAGTCCAGTGGGACTGCCCCTGATGTCCACGCGATATTGCAGAACCAACACAGCCCCACAACATCCAGAGCCTTAAGGAACTCCGAGCAGATCTCATCCACCCCCAGAGCCTTGCCACAGAGGAGCTTTTTAACCACCTCAGTGACCTCAGCACCAGAGATTTGAGAGGCCATCCCAAAGTCCCCAGACTCTGCTTCCTCACTGGAAGACATGTCGGTGGGATTGAGGAGGTCTTCAAAGTATTCTGCCCACCGATCCACAATGTCCTGAGTAGAGGTCAGCAGCACACCGTCCCCACTATAGATAGTGTTAGTAGCGCACTGCTTTCCCCTCCCCTGAGGCGCGGGATGGTGGACCAGAATCTCCTCGAAGCCGTACGGAAGTCTTGCTCCATGATCTCACCAAACTCTTCCCTGGAGGAGCTGGCCCAAGGGATCACCAACTTTTGAAAAGTTTCATTTTGTCAAAAAAAAAAAAAAAGTTGTAATTTTATCTATTTAGGGGACCGGGAGCTCGGCTGTGTGACGTAAAAAGTGACATTCAACGATCAGACGATTACATGATTATATTTTATTACTGGCTTTGCATGTTTTATATTATTATATTTTAGCACAGTTTCATTATTTAGTAATATTATTATTTTACTGTCCATATGATTTTATTTATTATCTTACTTTTGTCATTTATATTAGCTCTTTTATTTTCATATTTTTACTCATTTTAATCCCGTGTTTTCTCTGTAGGGGCCCTCTGCCCCAGGGGCAGTGGTCGACTGTTGCTTCCTGGGCGCTCTATAGGTAGTGTTTAAGTGGAGGTGTATGCACCCCCTCCTCTGAGCGCCCTGACTTGTTGCTGTGGAAGACCTGATGCTGCCGGGGCAGACGGCTCCTCTGATGGTGCTTCCTTGCCTTACCTTACTTGGCTCATCTGGATTCAGCCGAATATAAATTTTTACTGATGTGATTTTGTGTGTGTGTGTGTGTGTGTGTGTGTGTGTGTGTGTGTGTGTGTGTGTGTGTGTGTGTGTGTGTGTGTGTGTGTGTGTGTGTGTGTGTGTGTGTGTGTGTGTGTGTGTGTGTCTGTTAATGTTTTCATACTGTAATGGGAATTTGGGGTCGTTTTAATTCTGTAAAGCACTTTGAGTCGCACTTTGCTTGAAAAGCGCTTTATAAATAAAATCTGATTGATTGATTGATTGATAGACGAAGCACTGTTTTTTAATGGCGCTCTGTAGAGACAACAAAGCATCATAAATCACGGAGTTCTGAGGGGATTTCTGATGCATTTTTTGGCGTTGGGAGTTTAAAAATCATGATTTTAAAGACGCATCAATGCTGCTTATTTTATTTTTCTTCCATTCTGCTTTACTAGCAACTCTTCCAGTTTTACAAATGTTGGTTGTTTGGTGATGCCTACTGACATCATTTCCTATTGAGTTACAACCAATCACCATGAGTTAACCACAAGTCCCGCCCAGCGACTCTACCGGGAAATTGCTGAGTGCATACTCTAGTTCAGATATTTGGCTCCACCCTAAAACAGTCTTATCAGGCTGGCCCGATGAAATGGAGACATGTATATCACAAACGTCCGGTAAATTACCAGGAGGTTCTGGCAACGGGCCCTTTCTCTTTCTTGGAAGGAACTAGTTAAGAGTGGATTCAGCACTTTTGAAATACATGTTGAATTTGGTCATACTGCAGTCTAAACACCTGCTTGTATTTTCCTGACAGAATCCATCTGAATTAACTTTTGCCAAATTTTCTGGGCGAAGTGTGTCTGTTGAGATCTCTGCTATCGATACGGCTTTTGGTTCTAGTTTGGTGCCCCTTTTAAAAAAAGAAGCATAACTTGAGCAGTGAAACATTTCATTTTCCCACTGTCATCTTTTTATTACGGTTTGCATGATGTTGTTGCATCAATACCACTGCGGACATTTTAATGACAATCTCCGAAAAGATTCACTGGATAAATGTCCAACCAACTGTTGGGACCAGTCCCATTCAAGATGGCTTCCACAGCTAATGGATGATACCGAGCACAAAAAGCCCTAAAATGCAACAGATTTCACAGATAATGAACCATCATTTCACTTGTTTGAAGCAGAGAGTCAACTAATTGCTTGAGATTTTGCAATAATCTGTAACTCGACTAAAACAACCTAATCAGTTGTCAACACAGAAATTTAAACTTTTATAAAGAATCCTAGAATTTTAATTTGATGATATACAGTTTATTTTAAATTAAAGAGTTATTTATTTTTTGCCATTAGCTCGGAAAAGATTAGAATTTTAGTTTAAACCAACCTTTAGCGGCGTATTGTGTCTATTTCATGATTTTCAACAAACCTGTTTGGTTTAGCAACATCACATCAGTCTTTCTGGGTTTTTTTTTTTTTTTACCAGTATTTAAAAGTTAGAAATGTTGAATTGTCTCTTTACTGAAAAATCTGTCAAAATAACACCAACATTGTTGTAAAAATCCATATTTGGGACTAAACCATGCCACGTTATCCTGTTTGTTTATCCAGCTGATGTGAGATTTGTGTTCTCAGCTCTGAAGTGAGTGACACGAATCTTGATTGGTAGCAACAACAAAGTGTTTTTACCTCGGCATGTGCAGCTAGTGCATACCTGCGCACATTGTGCATCATTGAAAATAAATCCCACCTAATCACAAGCCTGGAGGATATTTCTAAAGCAATAAATTCATGTGTGGTTCTTGTCTGACAATCTACAACTCAATATCAAGTCCAAACCGGACAGATTGAGGGTGCAAAATAGAGCGAGGAACGCTCCTGATAACTTTAAACTGTGTTGTTGCTATGACGACCACCGTCTATGCATTGTCAGCGTGGCTTCCTTGCCGGTGCTACTGTGTGATGGGAGTAATCCGCAGTGTGGTCACTGCAGCAGACAAGTGCATGGTGAATAAATGTCAACAAACTAACCGATTTGCTCTCGATGACTTCATCCTCGAAGGGCTCCAGACGAATCTCCTGCAAACACAGAAAAGGCGTTTTTTACTCCAATGAAAGTTTGAATCTAGTGCAAATTAAAGTTTTTGGAGACATTAAACTGAAATTATAGGAACAATACAATAAGAAGCTGAATGTTGTTTTCTTTCCTTTCTTAATCAATTTTTATTCTTCTTTGCTCCTTTTGTGAATCTTATTTGCTGATGTGACACTGCTGAGAGACAGTAAAGGGATTTTCTATTCTGTATTCAGAGAGTACAGACGCTTTTTTCTCAGCTCCCTTATCGCTTCCCCAAGGCTCTTGTCCCGTCTGCCTACAGAGCACTTCTCTGCATTTCTCCTGAAACCACTACTCTTTTGGAAAAATGGACTTAATTAACTGGTCATTCAACGCGATTGACAACATTTTTTCTACGATGAGAACGGAGAAGGGGGCTCCCACCTGTCCCGAGGGGACATTCGCATCGGGATATGCACTCGATTCTTGGGAGGTCTGGCGGATCGTGTGCCTCTCTCAGTTGTCCATCGAGGACGTGGAAGATTTGTGGATGTTCGGCCTGATGATCACTGGATTTCTCCTGATTGGAGTGGGAGGATATCTGGTTTTCTGGAAATTTGGGTAGACGGGAGCGATTGGAGTGCGACCCGTGCCCATGGAATGTGCCGCTCGGGCGGTGACCTCACAGACTGGGACGTTACTCGAGGTGAACCGTAAGCTGGGTAATGTCCTCGCGGCGTTGCTTGTTTTAGTACGCAAGATGGAAGTCATCTCGGAGAGGGTCACCGGACGATGTGGAGATGTTTAGAACACATAAAATTGGCTTCACGGTGGACAAGAATGACCACTTAATAGACTCCAAGGAAGAGAGGAAAATTATCTCTGCCTGTCCCAAACAAAGTCATGTTTATCCTTATCTGACGCCATAGCAGCCTCTCAAGGCTGCTTCAACACACCCCCACGAAAGGAGGAATGCCGACAGATGCTGTGTCCCGACCTTCACCCTCTTCCTTCAGATTGAGACGTCTGCGGGAAACTCAGTGTGCTCTCTGTTCCTTATCTCTCCCTCCCACCTGTTGGTCTGCAACTGGTTGATGCGCCGTACCGGTAGCTCCCATTGGAGGCTTCAGGATCCCCACCCATCCCCGCCTCCCCATTGGACTCTGATGTTTGTGTGTGTGCTGTTTGTGCTTCTAAGTCAGGGAGTTTTCTTTGTATAATAGAGTTACTCCCCGCTGGGTCTAACTCTGCTATGCCTTTTTTTACCTTACCCCCAATTATCCTCATGTAACACCCTTTTCATCTATCTATTAAGGTAGCGCGACTCATGTTGCGAATGACCGCAGTCACCAATTCTTGTCATGTGTCTTACCCATGTATGTCTGATCTCTGAATTGTGTGCACTGAAACTCAATTTCGTTTCTCTGTATGTCCTGCACATGTGGTAGAAATGACAATAAAAACAACTTTGACTTTGACTTTGATGGTTTTTATTCAACTATTTGATATTTTTTAAATTATTCTGAATTAGGTATATTTTTAAATATCTATTTAAGGTGCATGATTGGTTATTGTGTGAGGTTTCTCTGTTAGATATTGCATCTACTGGTGTGTGCTTCTGCTCCATAAATGTGCACATTTTTGCACATAAGAATTAACATTTCAAAATAATTTTTGTAACAAATGCATCAGTTTTACGCATCTGACAAATGTGTGAGTTTATTTTTCTACTAAATACAGGGTAAACAATGAGATATCCACCCTCTAAAAGTCAAGCAACAACCGTCAAAAAGACACAAAAAAGTTACAAAAATTTGTGTTTTTAGCATTTTTTTTTCTTAAATTAGGGCAAAGGTTTAGCAATTTCACTCAAAAATTTAAATATAGAACAAAACAAGCAAATAGAAACAAAAAGGAACTAGAACTGCAAGCAGTTAGCAACAGGTTCCAAGCCAACCAGCGCCAGTCCCCCACCCGGCCTCGCCCTCGCCATTCCTCACGTGGCCCCGCTCCAAAAACACGTTCTCCTGCCGGCGTCCCTTCAGCTCACTTCAACCGGTGCAATGAAAGGAACACTCAGGATAACTCATAGAACCTTTTGCGGAGCCTATAGGAAAATCTTTCATAGGCATGGCCGACTTCTCAATCGTGATTACAATCGAATTCCATTGTTTAATTTTTAAAGACCGTGAAGATTTAGTTTATGTTTATGTTTATTTATTTGGCAGACGCTTTTATCCAAAGCGACTTACAATTTTTAACCTATAGGGCATGTTGTGATCTGTGGGGGAAACCGGAGTACCCGGAGGAAACCCACGCATGCATGGGGAGAACCTGCAACTCCACGCAGAAAGGCCGCAGCTGAGTTTCGAACCTGCAACCTTCGTGCTGCGAGGCAACAGTGCTAACCACTGCACCACCATGCAGCCCAAGTTAGTGAAGTTAGTGAAGTCATGTGCTGCATGGGACAGCATTAGCTCAGGAGGTAGAGCAGGCCGTAAAGTAATCGGAAGGTTGAAGGATCGATCCAATCTCTGACCAGAGAATACTGCCTCGCCTTTCAGTGGACCCCAGGGAAGCTGTGGCTACATTGTAGCTCATTCCCACTAGTGTGTGACTGTGTGTGTGAATGGATGAAAGAATCCTGCAGGCGTCATGTCAGCTCTCTAAACCGGCAGAATGAAATGAACAGTCAGGAAATCTCCTTGAACCTTTTGTACAGCCTATAGGAAAATCTTTCACAGACATCGGTAACATCTCGATTCCTACAACAATCCAGTTCCATCGTTTGATTTTTAAAGATCTTGGAGATGTAGTTAATTAAGTCATGTGCTGCATGGGACAGCAGTAGCTCAGGAGTTGGAGGGGGTTTTCCAGTAATCGGAAGGTTGAAGGATCGATCCAATCTCTGACCAGAGAATACTGCCTTGCCTCTCAGTGCGCCCCAGGGCAGCTGTGGATTCCCACTAGTGTGTGACTGTGTGTGTGAATGGCTGAAGGACTGATTGTGTTATGCGCCTTGGAGGGTTGTTGAACCCTCCTACAAAGGCGCTGTACAAATACAGGCCATTTACCATTTCAATATTACAGACAATGTTTATTAAATTCATTAAAAATGTATTCTTTTTAAATAAATTTCCAAAATATTCTTGGATCATCATGGGGTCATGAGAAATCAGGTTTAGTCATTTTATTGTTTCTAAATTAAATACTTTTTAATTTAAAAAATATATTGAAATTCATAAATAAACTGACCGAAACAAAAACTTTATTATAAAATCCATATTTGATCTAAAGATTACCGAACAATAATCTATACTTCAACAGTATATTAGGAATAATATAAATACTTGATAATGTCCCTAGATTTATTAGATTGTCAACAAAAACTATGAGTTTCATTTCGTGACTTCCTGGTCAAATGATTTTGAAAAATCCTGAAAAATCTACAAATCATCATAAAATTACCTAAATATTCTCACATGGTAATGTTAACCTGCGGAATACAATGCTGTTGTTTTTAAATCAGTAGATTCAAAGCTTTTTTGAAGAAAAATTGGTAAATATAATTATAAGGGTCACGCCCAAAATTAAAATATTCATTAAAAAAATAGTGCTACTTTATAAAATTAGTAGAAAAATCTCAGATCACCATAGGTACATGTGGGATGTTATAAATTGTTTATATTTACTATATACCTAAAAAAATTCTAACAAAAAATATTTACTTTTTTATGCAACTAAACAGAAAAACTGGAATAAAGTAAAAAAATTAATAAAAAATCTATGCTTTTGTACAAAAATCTCAAAATATTCCCAGATTACCTTTGTGATGTGAGACTTCTGCTTATATTTTTATAAGGATCATAAAAGTTAAACTTATCTTACAAAAAAATAATATTTGCATTAGTGGCTGTCAATAAAAATAAGTCCTAATATTAAACACAAGGGGGTAATCAAATCAAGACTACATTTTATGTTTCATAAACCACCTAAGAGTGGGCATGGCCAATATAAACGACATGCAGAATCATCCAAGGATCAAGCACATATAAAGTTTTTGACTGTCGGGCCTATGGTTTGGGAGCTAGTAGCTGAAACGCATTGACCTTCGCAACAGTGCCAACTAGTGATTGCTGGTTATGAATTTTCGAATCTTAGTAACGGTCAGGATTTTCTACCAGACTGACATGTCAGATTTTTTCTGGCATTTTCAGGCTCCTGCGCCCATATGAAATTAGCGGAGAAGAATAATCTCGGAAAAATAATGAAAAATACGTACAAAAACAATAGGGTTCCCTGCCCTTTGGGCTTGGAACCCTAATTAGGTCTGCGCACTAGCACTGCAGCATGGCTAGCTGCAGAATACTAGCTATTAGCCATGGAGCTAGCTACTACTGTAGCAGAAATTCTATAAGAATTTTGATGGAACAATCATTAAATAAGAAAGTTAGTGTAAATTTGAAGATTATTTACATAAATTGCCATTCAACTTTTGAGAAGACATTACATACCTGGCCCATTTTAAGGCTAACCAGACCTTAGCTAGACTTGATCAAAAACACTATTTTTCTTAAAAACTTTGCTGTTCTAAAAGTAACTTCAAAAGATGTGAACTGTTGCTTTAAAAATAAAAATGTTCATTTTTATGTTTAGGAGATTATTTGTAGCATTTAGCCAAGTGACAAAGAGTTAGCATAAATAAAAATAGTCCATGCTAAATCATTTATTTTGAACCTGTTGCAAAATGTCCCTAACTATGAGTAATATGCTTCATGCATTTTTACTCATTGCTAAACAACCAAACACATTTTTCTGGCTGCATTTATGTATTTTCACCTCTCCCTTTACAGCAGATTGCTTCTTTCAACATGAACAGACAGCAGCTGTGCGAGTTTCAGCTGACATCTCCTGTGTGTGTGCATATGCTCATGCGTACATGTGTGGGTGGGTGTTGTTGAGCTTTGATGAATCCACAAATATGAGGTAAATTTCAGAGAATAATGTAAAGCGCAAATGGTGAAAACAAAGACTAGAGACGGAGGAAGCTGTGCAGAAAACAAGTGGTGTGAATGTTTGAGAAACGTGGTGAAATAACCTTTTGTTCTAGTCGGTCGATGAGCTTCTGCAGCCTGTTGACCTGAATTGTCCACTGACAATCTTCGTCGTAAAGACCTGAGGGGACAACAAAGGTGAACAGATGAAAGACGCCATGCATATCGACTTTATTTTAAAATACTTTTCTGCATTAATTCCCAAACTAAAAAAAGTCATTATAAACTGGGCCAGGGGAAATTTCAAGGCTTCCTTTCATGTTGTGCTGCAAACAAGCACACCAATCAATAGAAAGGCTCTGAGCCTCATAATCAGCCTGCAAAGGTTCTGCATTTGTTTCACAGAACTGCTGGCAATCACAGCTGGTGACATGTTGGGGATGTGGAATAGCAACATGCAAGAAAAAAGACTACTGTAGAAGATTGTAGATAAACATATTTGTTATTTGTTATAACTGAACCATATGCAAAACAATAAAAATGTTGACAGAGCAGAAGTGATTCATCTGTCTTCTAGACCCTTGAGTGTCATGATTATGAGTACTTTTTTAATCCATACATCTTCCAATCACACCTGAACCTCGTTAAAGTGGTACTTCACTGAAAAACAATCTTTTACTGATTATTTCTGGTTATAATGGGTCACTCTGACTTTTTCATGCAGGCTGAATATGAAAATAGTCTCCTACACCTATGTCCTGAATCAGCTACTGATGGAAAATAGACGGTGAAACTCTAGGATTAGAAAATCCTGACAGATCTACGTCACACTGTCCCTTAACATTCATGGACTCACCCTTATTGACTTGTAACAGTGAAGGCTGTTGTTGGTTTAGCATCTAGGAAACAGCAGAGAACATCTCGACTAGTAGAAGCTAACCTTTAGCATTAGCAACTCCACCACACGACAGAACTCCTCCAGGCTTGTGTTATTTATGGAGAGAAGACATCAACGTTGCAGAGCAAACAGAGTCAGTGGTAGAGTTACGTTGCTGTTGGCCAATATGAGGAGAGATGTCCAAATATCAGGAAAAGGGACTCCAAATCCTCCCGCCTTCAGCTCAGCTCTGCTCTAACTTGTAGTTCCTGAAACATGTGTGTTTCCTTACTCTGACTTCCTGCTGAGTTTCAATGCCCGAGTCATGGAAATAGTTCCTTTAAAGAGTTTTAAACAAGCTACTGTTTTCCAACTGGTTTCCCATATCACTCACTGGTTTCATAAAGATGGTGTCAGTGTGTAACACATGGACAATCCCATTTACAACCCACTTTAAAGAGCAAGTCACCCCCAAATCAACGTTTTTTTTCCTGATAAACTATATAAATGTGTGTCTAATCGTGCTGTAGACACGTGTAGTCAATAGTTTTGCACTTTAGTGCATTTTAGTTAAAATTTAAATGTTCTGCCTAAAACTGTCAGTGTTGTGCCGTTGTCAGGTAAAATCTCTGCACTGCATTTGAATTTAAATCTGCCATCGCTATTGGCTAAGAGGTACCCTAGAACATTAGCTGGTACCATATGATGTCACAATGTTTTTGTTAGCCTCTGTCTGTGTGTGTGTGTGTGTGTGTGTGTGTGTGTGTGTGTGTGTGTGTGTGTGTGTGTGTGTGTGTGTGTGTGTGTGTGTGTGTGTGTGTGTGTGTGTGTGTGTGTATTTGTTAGCGGCTCCGCCCTCTCGGTCTGCTGGGCAACAGCATTTGTTGCATTTTTCAAACAGGAAGTGCGAGCAGAGTAATACTCTGGTAGGGGGTGACTTGCTCTTTAAACAATTTGTTTTGCTGTAGAGGCCAAGAGAGGGACTTAGGGTAAATATAAATTATAAAAGATTACCTACTTTACATGAAACAGGCTAAGATAGTCACATGTACACATTTTTAAGTGACTTTAAAAAATTTCACCTATTCACCTATGCACCCTGGGTTTAGGGAGTTTTGGTTTGAAGTTGGCATTTTAAACCCACCTGAATTGACCAGACTGATCAGTGGGTTGTTAGGGGAGAGGCTGTTGTTCCTCTGGAGCCTCCGATTGAGGCGGCGACCCGACAGCTGGATGGACAAAACTTCTGGCTTCAAAGGGCCTTGTCTGGAGAAGGAAAAACACATTACCACTCCGAAGTTTAGAGTTGCACTAAAGCAATTTAAAACCCCTTAACTCCCTTAAAGGCTAAATCATGAAATAATTTGTAGATCCTCCACCAGAGGGCAGTAAGCTTGTGCAGGACTGGGTGTGGCAGGTTTGTGTTGAAGGTACTAATCCTAATACTCCACCTTGATGTTTTGAGGCCAAATATGATGCAAATTTGAGGATAAAACCTCCTGCTTAGTTGCTTATGCACTTTGCTGTGCATATGTGTGCAGGATCTTAAACTTTATATTATCGTTCTGCCAGACTGTGGAGCTCTCCCAGCAGGTGACAGGAGCACAGAATCTAAAGCTAAGTTGTTCCAGCTGGGAATAAATTTAGTAAAAACACGGAGATGTCTGGACTTCTGCTGCTTGTTTTCTGTGTTGGGCTGACGTTGAAGCTAATGTCACTGACAAGGTGCATGTTACCACAGGGTGACATCACCTTAGATTCATCTTACTACTGTCATGTTCTTCTGTCCTGTTCTTTGAAAACACTGCAGGGATTCTGAAGGGGAACAATGAATATTTTAATCCACGTGCTTGTGCTCGTGATGCTTATTTTTAGTGTTTTTAGTTCTGAGGACAAGCTTTCTTCAAATCCCCCCTTTTGTTTACATGTGGTTTTAGATTTAGTTTTAGTTTTAATTTGGGATTCACTTTTTTATACAAACAGATTTTGAAGTTAGAAACAAAGATTAAATGTTGAAAATATAAGATTTTATTTTATTTATTTATTTATTTATTTAAAATTTTTGTGCATTTTAGATCACAGAAATGGTGCCTCACGTGTAAAAGCTGGTTACTTTTTCACACATTTGTTTGGATTTAATTTTCACTTAATAAACAAAATCATTGTTTTAAACAGAAATTTCTATTTGCTCGTTTGTTTGCTGATCTGAAACATTTAAATGTGACAAAGAAAAGCAAAAGCTGAAAAACTCCTTACTTTACCACATCACTTAAAATATGACAATTAAGAAAATGTTAAAATGTATTGGAAAAAGATCATTTTTAGGAAAATTCTAACATTTTATGAGACTGAATCTATTTAAAGAGCAAGCCACCCCCTACCAGAGTCTAACTCCACTCCAATTTCTTGTTTGAAAAATGCTCCACAAGGAGGTGTTGCCTCTTGGCAGACCGAGAGGGCGAAGCCACTACAACAAATACACACACACACACACACACACACACAGGCTCACAGCGACATTGTGACATCATAATGTACCAGCTAACGTCATAGGGTACCTCTTAGCCAATTGCGATGGCAGATTTAAAATCAAATGTAGTGCAATTTTTTACCTGAAGAGGGCGTAACACTGACAGTTTTAGGCAGAATATTTAAATTTTAACTAAGATGCACTAAAGTTCCAATTTATTGACTACACACATCTACAGCCCGATTAGACACTCATTTATATAGTTTATCAGCAAAAAAAGGTGATCTGGGGGACTTGCTCTTTAACAGTACGACTACAGCATTCTCTTTACATTCAACCTGTTTAATCAAATTAATTACATTGCCTAGTTAGGTATTAAACAGGACATATAGTGACTTTTTTCTTAAGGTTTAAAAGTTCTATGACCTACACAAAACATGTTTATGAAGTTTTTTCTCTCTAGCATAGAGCTATTTCAGCAGTTTTACTCTTGATATTTTCAGTATCTTCCAGAATGAGTCATTTCAGGGCTCTGTCACTCAAAGAAAACAAGCTGGAACTGGCCACGCCCACCCATCCCCGCTCAGGCTGATAAATAGAGAAGCTCAGATATCTAGGAGGGATTCATAGTAGAACCGCCACTCCTCCTGCAACTCTCTTTTGCACGTGAGAGGTGGTTCTATTCTAATTTCCCCGTTTGTGACATCACAAATTGGGACTTTTTGAAACAGCTTGTTTTAGGCACACAAGTCCTTAAACCAAACACTGACAGAAAATGTATGGATATTCTTTTATGTTTGGAGCGTTTATAGAGGCAGTAGAGACCCACATGGCAGCACGAAAGGATGTTAAAAGTGAGTTTTGCATAATATGTCCCCTTTAATAATCTAATGACACTAAGACAGAAATGCTCTCCCCGGTGATTTTGTTAAGCGGAGTATGAAACCACTTATAGTAGCATGATTCTAAATGCTCACTTGGCACCCTGCAGGATTGCAGGTGGGTGTGAGCTTGGGGGATTTCTAGGTCTGTCTGACTCACATTTTCAGCTGCAAATCAACTTTAATCGCTAAAACTGTCAACTAAAAAAGGAAGGGAAGGGAAAAGGTGTCAGGCTATAATTATAAGAGCGATGGGATGCCTCTGAAACAATCAATAACCGTTGGAAGTTCAGAGCAGAAGTGATAACAACAATGAGAACAAATATGAGTTTTTCCTTTTGACCAAAGTCTCTTAAAGTAAAAGCCAGCAGAGGAACAAACAGATGTTTTGATGTTTACGCACTGATAACAATCAAATGCTTGAGGGGGAATTTCTCAAGAACGAAAGATGCAGGAAGAGAAGGAGGGTCTGCTAACAGTAAATGACACTTGTGTGGAAATGTAGTTGAGGAAAGAGAAATGGATCAAATTTAGGAGGTGAGACAGAAAGAAAGTAAACAGAATCAGGAAAAATCTCCAGAATCTTCATTTAAATGCAAAGACGTGAAACTTGAGTCACTTTCTAAGCGAAATAATAGTCATTCCTCTTTCACATCTAATGGGTGCAGAGATTATTATCATTATTTCAATCAGATCAGCTTTGTTTAATTGTACGCCAGTGAGCCCTTCATGATCTGTTCAGCAAGAGGGGAAAAGAGTTTGATTTTTTTCTTATTAACAGAAAATCGCAGCTTGAATCCATGCAGATGAAAAGCTGCTGAAAAGCCAGTGCGTCATTCCCCCCGTCATAAAAATACACCATGCTTCAAATAAACTCGGACGTAAACCTGCAGGGGGGTTCGCACACATATTTTCCATGTATGAAATTTGTGCATGCGTGCACCGGGTGAGTCACCGCCATCGTTAATGACCTGAGCGCACCGGGGGCATGTAGGGAGGTCTGAACGCAGACCCAGGATGATGAAGAACGGAGGCCGGAACAAACGCTACCTTGTGAGAATAAAAAGCCTCATCAGCGCTGCACTCGTCTCACACAGCCAGAGAGGTGCTCATTAGCCCTCGGTGCATTCACGAATACGCTAATTATGACCAAACAATGGCACAAATCCTTTATCAGCCTTTCATGTCGATTCTCTTTTATTTTCAAGCCTTTGATGAATTCAGAAAGCATGTGGACGTTTAAATCTTTTGCAATAACCATCAACATTTAAAGTAACTAGACATCCAAACTGCACATGAACCATGAAAACAAACAAATGACTGCCCCCTAGTGGCTGGCTGCAGTACAAGTATTTAGCCCCGCCCCCTCCATGTAAACACATGTGACCTTTTTTGATCGCGTTGCTCTCACCTTGGTTCAGACACTAATTTTTCTAAGATGTAATTAATAACTTGAGTCTAGGTGAGTATTTGGGAGGTTCAGCTCCACTTTCAGGTTTCAAAGTTATAACAAGAGCCGTTTTTACAAAACAATGACGTCAATTTGCCACAACGCTGAAGCTGTATCATTACTGAATTATTACTACCAAGCGAGGTGGAACGATTGCTGCTAAATTTGCACATCGCCATTTATAAGACACACCGTTGCAATAATATTATGCCGTTTTGCCGGCTTGGTGTGTCTAAAAAGGGCTAAGATGGCATCTTTATAGAAGGTATCACTTTTGTAGAGTCAATGTTGTAAATTGTCATTAATATTGTAATGTAGCTCAATGTTCTAACTCTATTTTCATTTTTTTTTATCCTTATAAAGATCTTAAAATCAGATTTTTAGGGGTTTTTTCCTCCCAAAATAACATCAAAGAAAATTTAACACCAAAAATCAGTCCTAAACTGTTCCGTTTTTTTTTTTTTTTTTTTTTTTGGTAAATAGGAGTTTTGATTGAGTCTATACAGAAAGTATTTCAAGTTATGTTCAAATATTGGCTGATTTTTCAAATGAATAGCCCTCACTCATCAAAATGAAACAGGAAATGGATGCAGCAAGCATTTAGTTTTAGGATTTTCACCAGAAAATCATCTGTCGTGCAAGACCATAAGCACTTCAGTGAGAAAGGATGCTGTTGTCACCAGAATGCAACACAATAAATAAAGTTCAAATGAATATGTTATGTATTTTTCCATATTTTTGGAAAGCCAGACACTAATTGAATTGTTTTGAAGGTGTGATTTAGTGACATCTAGCAGTCAAGTTTTATATTAAAACCAAATGAATCCCTGAATCAATTAAAAATGTAAATTTAGACATTTTTACAACAAATAAACAAATACAGAAACAAGGCCCTGTTCCAAAACTATTTGTTAATTTGAAAAGACGGCAGCCTGTTAGGACATGAGAACAGCTCATCTGGGGGTAATCAAACACTGTTTTCCAATTTACCCCAATCAAAGTGTTGGTCTTAATATCATTAATATTAATATTTTGGCAGCACTGTCATCTCTAAATGCTACCCACATTAGGCCAGAATAAATGAATAAACAAATGTGTTTTTGTATGTTCTGCTGATTAGTCAGCTTTTTATTCATTAAAGTTGTCTTTCTTGGTGTCGTTCTCCTTATTGTGTGTAATTTTCCTAATGAGCTCTTTAGAATTCATCTTTTCTCCACAGGAAGAGGATTAAATAAGTAATTAGTCAGATGAATCTGGTGGATTTAGGAAAGACCCGGGTGGTTTTAACAAGCAGTGCTGGCATTTCGGACAAAAGCATCATTCATATTCCAAGATCCAGTGTACATTTTGTTCAAGTTTCACAGACGGTGTGTGTGTGTGTGTGTGTGTGTGTGTGTGTGTGTGTGTGTGTGTGTGTGTGTGTGTGTGTGTGTGTGTGTGTGTGTGTGTGTGTGTGTGTGTGTGTGTGTGTGTGTGTGTGTGTGTGCGTGCTTATTAAGAGTGAAGGACCAGAGAGATTTGCACTTACTTCTCTTGGCGCGTCTGCTCGGCTGTGGTTTCCATGGCACACTCCAGCGAGCTTTGAAGCGAATGAAGCTGATTGGTTGTCTCTTTTAGCAGGAAGCGGGTCACAAACTGCTCCAGGTGGGTGGACTCCTGATAATCCTGTCAATCAAGGTGGGGATGCAGAGGGGGAGGAGGGGGGGGGGGGGGCAAGTTGGTGTGGGACGAACAATAAAGAGAAGCTGTGACAGGTTTCACATGCCACTCGAGAGTCACTAAGTCTGCCCACAGGAATATTCCGGAGAGATTACGCAACACAGCTCCTCAAAAAAAGAATACGTGAAGTAAAAGATGGGAGGAAGATATGAACTCGTGGGTCACATCTGCTAAAATCTGCAGTTTAATCAATTATGTTAAAATAAAAAAACAATTAGCTCACTTCCCAAAATTAATTATAAGAAAATGCCGGGACTGCCTGGTTTAAATGAATGATTAAAACAATTTCAAAGGTTTGAGATATTATTGCATCATTAATCAATTTAATATTCAGGTTATCAGCATTACATGTTTCTCAGTTATCTACCATGTCCACTGATAATTATCTGTTGTCGTTCAACACAATCATTCACTCACTCACACACACACACACACACACACACACACACACACACACACACACACACACACACACATACTGGTGGCAATGAGCTACAATGTGGTCACGGCTGCCCTGGGGGTGCAATGACGGAAGCAAGGCTGCTGAAAACTGGCGCCACTGGTCCCTATGATCACCACCAGCATGCACAAGGACACAACGACTGTGTCAACCTGAGTGGGGCTCAAAGCTGCAACCCTCCATTTAAGGGAAGAGCGTTCATGAGGGAGTCCCAAAAGGTTCATGAGGGAGTCTCGAGAAATTCATGAGGAAGTTCCAAGACTTTCATAAAGGAGTCTTGAAACAATCCAGAGGGAGTCTCGAGATATTCGTGACAGAGTCCTGAGACTTTCATGAGGGAGTCTTCATATGTTCAAATGTTTAAAATGGAGTCTGGAGATGCTCACAAAGGAATCTCTATACATTCACAATGTAGTCTTAAGATGTTCATGAGGGAGTCTTAAAATGTTCACAAGAGAGTCTCAAAACAGTCACGGGGAAGTTGTGAGACTTTCACATGGAATGTCTGTAGACGTTCGCAATGGAGTTCCTAGACATTCACAAAGGAGACCTGAGATGTTCAGGAGGCTGTTTCAAAACCTTCAAATAGGAGTCTGTCAGAGGGCTACAATGCTTAGACTGTGAAAATATCATATTTATAGTCTTCTGACTTTCATACATGAAATTATTTACGAGTAAAGCTTTATAGAAGTGACTTGGCATTCTAGTCAACTGTACTCTACAAAAAACTGTCCCAACTTGTCATTTTTTTCAGTGCAACACGACACATTTTGGCATAATTTGGGCAAAATGCTAATTTCTCTATTATGTTGGAACACATGTGATGGCGTCACAAACGCCTCATCTTTCTGTGAGTCAGTCATTTTAATGGTGTCAAGCTGCGCTAGCTGAGAATTCTGATGGAAGAACATCGAACTCTGACACGTTGCACATGTGATTTGAGGTGCCTGGAATGAAGCAGGAAGGCTGAGTGTTGTTTTGGATCTAATCAAACAAGAGCCAGCAATCTGTGGAGTCTACTGTACACGCACAGCAATGCTCAACTAAAAATGACAAGTGGAAATAAATGATCAAACATCTAGAGCACTAAAGGAATGTGTTATGAGACATAAAGGCAGTAACTAAAATCTATATTTACTGCATGCACGATAAACATACAGTATTTGGTCTCTCAGCATCAGTTATAGGTAGTATAACTACAGTGCATCAGTTATAGGTAGTATAACTACTGTGCATCAGTTATAGGTAGTATAACTACAGTGCATCAGTAATAGGTACCGTAAATCCTCTAATACAGGCCCGGGCTTGTATTTGACTCAAGCTCATCAAGCTCTAGGCCTTTAATAGAAGGAGGACCAGAATTCGAGGCAGGCCTCAATTTCTATTTGAGCAAAATGAACTAATGGTTCGCTGGAGTTTTAATGGTTCGCTGGAGTTTTTGACAATTCAAATTGCGCCCACATTTTCAAAGTTAAACACATTTCTTTTAATAACGGTAGTTTCTGCTTCAGCCCCCTCCCCCCTCCCCCTGCGCAGCGGCCGCAAACTCACTGATGCGCCTGCAGCCTCTCAGAGTTCCTGCTGCTCTAAACATTACTTCAATTCAATTCAATTCAAGTTTATTTATATAGCGCCAAATCACGACAACAGTCGTCTCAAGGCACTTCACATAATAAACATTATGTGAACATTAACATTAAAATAATTATTTCATTTTCTGTTCCTCACTTCTGATTACCTTCAGTGGTGTCTGTTTGTTGCAACCACCAGGTATAAAAACTAACTTGTTTCTATGACTATCTCCTCTCAATCCTAAAGAAAAACTGCTACCTGGGTTCATATATATTCACCTTATGAGTTACCTTTGAACTGCAGTTCTAAAAAGATCTACCGACCACAAAAACAGCGGAGTGCTCGCCGGCCAAATCAGTTAGATGCGTCACCGAGGACAAAACAGGTGATGCGCCGGGATCCACAGCAGCAAAAAGCATCAGGCACAAATAAAAGAATAAAAGGCAGAAAACATAAAAGGAAATGAGCCGACATGAACGATCGCGTGGTAAGTTAGTTTTTGAGGTGGCGACACCTGATTTGATAATGTTACTGTGGCCTTGCCTCCCGACGCGCAGGAGCTTGTCACCTGCTGACAGCAGGCTGCTGTCTTTTCCGTGGACTGCATCTTGCCGGTCATTATCACGTGACAGCGACTAATCGATGACAGGCATAAAAAGTCACTATAGAGCGGTGAAGTCGACTAGTGACTAGTTCATACAACCCCTGCTACTGCTCCCCAGAGTGTTCTGCAGCATAATCAGCACGTTCTCTTTGAACTTGATATCAAATTTCGCCTCTTCTTCGTCTCCGCACGGTTAAGGTTACCCTCGCGGTCTATCACTGGCAAAAGTGAGACGGATGACACAACCGCCCCCCCCCTGTGGTACTTGCTTGTTACCACATTCCACCCGGCCACAATAAAAAAACAGCCATTATTCACCTCCGCCGACTCCGACACCGGCCAAAATATGATACCCGGCAGTTAATTAAATACAGGCTAATATTAGAGGATTTACGGTAACTACTGTCCAGTTATAGGTAGTATAAGTACTGTGCATCAGTTATAGGTAGTATAACTACTGTGCATCAGTTATAGGTAGTATAACTGCTGTGCATCAGTTATAGGTAGTATAACTGCTGTGCATCAGTTATAGGTAGTATAACTACTGTGCATCAGCTATAGGTAGTATAACTACTGTGCATCAGGTATAGGTAGTATAACTACTGTGCATCAGTTATAGGTAGTATAACTACTGTGCATCAGTTATAGGTAGTATAACTACTGTGCATCAGTTATAGGTAGTATAACTGCTGTGCATCAGTTATAGGTAGTATAACTGCTGTGCATCAGTTATAGGTAGTATAACTACTGTGCATCAGTTATAGGTAGTATAACTACTGTGCATCAGTTATAGGTAGTATAACTGTTGTGCATCAGTTATAGGTAGTATAACTGCTGTGCATCAGTTATAGGTAGTATAACTACTGTGCATCAGTTATAGGTAGTATAACTACTGTGCATCAGCTATAGGTAGTAAAACTACTGTGCATCAGTTATAGGTAGTATAACTACTGTGCATCAGTTATAGGTAGTATAACTACTGTGCATCAGTTATAGGTAGTATAACTACTGTGCATCAGCTATAGGTAGTATAACTACTGTGCATCAGTTATAGGTAGTATAACTACTGTGCATCAGTTATAGGTAGTATAACTACTGTGCATCAGTTATAGGTAGTATAACTACAGTGCATCAGCTATAGGTAGTATAACTACTGTGCATCAGTTATAGGTAGTATAACTACTGTGCATCAGTTATAGGTAGTATAACTACTGTGCATCAGTTATAGGTAGTATAACTACTGTGCATCAGCTATAGGTAGTATAACTACTGTGCATCAGTTATAGGTAGTTTAACTACTGTGCATCATTTATAGGTAGTATAACTACTGTGCATCAGTTATAGGTAGTATAACTACTGTGCATCAGTTATAGGTAGTATAACCACTGTGCATCAGTTATAGGTAGTATAACTACTGTGCATCAGTTATAGGTAGTATAACCACTGTGCATCAGTTATAGGTAGTATAACTACTGTGCATCAGTTATAGGTAGTATAACTACTGTGCATCAGTTATAGGTAGTATAACTACTGTGCATCAGTTATAGGTAGTATAACTACTGTGCATCAGTTATAGGTAGTATAACTACTGTGCATCAGTTATAGGTAGTATAACTACTGTGCATCAGTTATAGGTAGTATAACTACTGTGCATCAGTTATAGGTAGTATAACTACTGTGCATCAGTTATAGGTAGTATAACTACTGTGCATCAGTTATAGGTAGTATAACTACTGTGCATCAGTTATAGGTAGTATAACCACTGTGCATCATTTATAGGTAGTATAACTACTGTGCATCAGTTATAGGTAGTATAACTACTGTGCATCAGTTATAGGTAGTATAACTACTGTGCATCATTTATAGGTAGTATAACTACTGTGCATCAGTTATAGGTAGTATAACTAGTGTGCACACATTTGCACTCATCAGTGTGCATTCACCTATTAGGAGCGAGTCATGACAGAGCTGGTAAAGGTCAGTCTCTTGTAGGTGTGTCCATCTCACAAATTCACAGACATTTTAAACAGCTTCCAGTCTGCCTGATTTTTATTTTGTTTTCCTCTCGTGATCTTTAATAGTCAGCAGCAAAAGGTCAAATGGGAGACTTGTTGAAGCCTTTTAGCTCTTTGCAAATTATTTTAATGATTTCACAATGCAGACAGACAACTTGATAGAAAATAAGCAATTGCAATGATTTTTCTACTCAACACTATATGTTCAATTTAGAGGTTTGCGTCAGACATTTCTGTTGTCTGTCATTTTCCCCCTGTCACTTCCATTTCTAAAAAAAATAATGAATAACATTTT